CAGCATTATTGAAATTGGCTTAGTGAACTTTTTGCCTTGCAGGAGAACCTACCTTTGTTATAAATATGCCGTAATATTTTGAGAATATAAATAAAGCCTTGGGGAAGAAGTTTAAAAAGATTCAGGAAAAAAATTGGCTAAAATATTCATACTAAATGAGCCTTTTTATTTTGCCTAAATTTTATATTAATGTGTAGTTTAAGAAATTACATAAAGCAAGATTACTACGAGGCGTATTCGGAAACTAAGTACCATTTTGGAAAAAAAAAAAAAAAAAAAAATAGTAAAACAATTTTTTCGAATCCAATTTTATTTTTACATGAAAATACATGTCTTAAACAAACTAGTTTTCAACATAGTTTCCGCCAATGATGAAACACTTGCCATAGCGGGTGACCAGTTTTTGTATACCATCGTCAAAGAAACTTCCCTCCAGTTTCGATAACCACGATTCCACAGTATTTTTCGTGTCATCGTCAGATCCAAGCTCGCTCTTCATGTGCAGGAACAAGTGATAGTCGGACGGCGCCAAGTCCAGGCTGTACGGCGGGTGATCGAACTGCTCCCAATGAAACTGTCGAATTAACGATTGAGTGACACCAGCAGTATGGGGCCGAGCATTGTCATGGAGCAACACATTTCCTTTACTGAGCATTCCTCTTCGTTTGTTTTGAATGGCATGCCTTAGTTTTGTTAAAGTCTCACAATATCGTGCCGTATTAATGGTTTCACCTCTGGGAAGAAATTCAGTAAGCAAAACGCCTTTCCTATACCAGAAGACAGTGCACATGATCTTTTGTGATGACATTGTCACTTTGAACTTTTGTTTTTTCGGAGAATGAGTGTGTCTCCTCTCCATCGATTGTTGTTTCGATTCTGGTGTGAAATGTGAAATGACATACCCAAGTTTCATCACCTGTAACAATTTGGTTTAAAAAGTTTTCTCCTTCATCACTGTATCACGTGAGAAATGTCAGGGCACTACCAAGTCGCTTTGTTTTGTGAACATCAGTGAGCAATTTTGGAACCCATCAGAAACACAGTTTGCGATAATTCAAGCGGTCAGACACAATTTCGAACAAAACAGTACGTGAAATTTGTGGAAATGCCTCTGAAAAAGTTGTCATTGTGAAGCGTCTGTTCTCATGAATTGCTTCATCAACTTTCCTTACCAAATAATCAGTGACAACAGAAGGCCGACCACTCCGAGCCTCGGCGTGGACATTTGTTCGACCTGCATTAAACATTCTTACCCACTTTCTCACCATTCCATTACTTATCGTGTATTCACCGTAAATTTCTGTCACTTGACGATAAATTTCGGCCAGTTTAACATTCCTCGGGTTCAAAAATTTAATCACGGCACGAATCTCACAGTCAGCGGGAGAACTAATTGTCTTAAACGTTTTGAATTTGCACAGCAAACTGAAAACACAACATAGAGCAACCAAAATGGTGACAATTGAAAGTCAGTGAACAAGAAAGACTAGTGCGCATGCGCGGGATGCCTACCACAGCGCTGCAATGGCACTAGAATGAAACGGTACTTAGTTTCTGAATACGCTACGTATAATGAAGGATCAATAATGTATTTCATTAAATAAATACAATATCAGTTTTGAATGAAAAGATGAATATCCTAAAGTACCTAATTTTCTACTCATCTGCTGATTTATCCTTCATAAAGAACTTGAGTTAAATGTTAGGATTCTGTTATTTGTCCAGGTGTTTAGCTCGCTTTTCATTTGATATACGTAGCAGTTAACTCATGACTATGAGAAAAATAAATCAAATCATATATTTGGAAGACTGGAGAAACATTAATATTTGCATTATCTTTTGAAAAGTCCTTTGTTTTCGAAAAAATGCGATTTCTTTTAACAAGCAGATGTAGTTCTAGTTTGATGTTTTTATTTATTTTATTATTTTTAATAATTTCTATCTATGTGTCAAACAATGGCATCTATTTTCTATTGATTTTTTTTTATTTGGTTCTTTTTGTCAGAAAATGCTACTTTTGAGTTAATTTCACAAAAGCTGATTTATGATGTTTTATTAGAAGATAAGTTTTCTTTATAATGTATCTTCTTTAATTCAAGATTGACACTGCAGACATTTAAGTTGATCATGAAAAGTTAAGATCTGTGACTGTTTAAGAAGTTGATATTTTTAATGAAATGCCAGTTAAAACATGGCTGACTTTAGTATACTGAAAGTAAAGTGGTCTCAGCTTCCCATTTTAATTTTCCATAGTTTACAGTTTTTTTTTTTTTTTTTTTTTTTTTTTTTTTTTTCTTTCTTTCAAGTAAGAACTGCATTGACTGCAGTTATAGGCTACTTATGGCTTTCGTAATAGCTGTATCATTTATTAAGTATGCATTTCAAGAATTTTGCCATTTTCATTGTGTTTATATTCACTATCCTGATCACAATATTTTTAAACTTCTGTTGAAGTAACCCATGATTATTATTTGGAAACAAACTCAAAACTTCTGGCCAAAGGAAAATGTGACCTATCGTATCAACACATAAATTAATTTAGCCTTTATATTTACAGATTTAGCTACTTCTATTTTAAAATATAATCCTAAATATTATTTTTTGTTATCTGAAATTCGGTTTACTCTTTCTTTCTTATGCTATAAAATTACAATTCTCATTTTATTAGAGTAATTTTAAGAGGATTTATGAAAGAAGTGTTCAACCTTAAACGTGTATATGTAAAAAAAAATTTGTTTTCCCTAAAATTATGGGCATTATGCATTTACCAAGAATGATTCAGTGACTTTATTGAGCTCAAAATTCAGTGCATTTGATAGTGAGACACTGAACGAATTGGAATAAGAATGCGATTTTGAAAATGAAGTATGATTTTCGTATCTGACCCAGAAAAGGAAATTACCCATTCTATAATCAAGAGAAATTTTAATTCACCCAGTGTTTTACAAAGGTGATAAGAATTTTTTTTTTATAAAAATTTCTAATTTTATAGACAGTTGCTTTTTGTAAAGAGAATATGTAAAAATGTAGGTACTCTAATTGAAAATAGCTATAGCAGCTGCAAAACGTAGTTAAAAGCTGTTAAAAATAATTCTGCCTCTTTCTTTTCTGTCTTCAGTTTTTCTGATTCCTTTAAATGAACTGTTTGCAAATTGGCATTCATAATTATATATCAGTACTTTTTAATTTTGATAATTTTAATCATACTTTTTTCATTGTGATACTTTTAATTAACTTGAGATATATTTGTGTGCACCTGTTACAAATGTCGTGCAGTACTAACTGTAATGTAACTCATTTATTTCCAGCAGAACTGGATATACTAGTTTAACAGACTTTTTGCAATTTATTGTAGAGTATGAAAATCAATTTCAATCCAAATATAAATAGATATCTTTATGTAAAATTTGTGTTTTTAATACATGTTGAAACTATTAAGATCCTGTATGATTGATCGTGCTGATTTAGGCAGTTGTAGAAAACTTTAATACTGGTTGTACATTTATAACAGCTTTAGCTTCAGTAAAGTATTGTCTGATAAATTGTTCTCCATGAAAGTATATCAGTTCTGGGATATTACAATTTGTACTTGTTAAAGTAATAAAACATGGAATTTTTCAGAAGAAAAATAACATGAAAATGTGAATAAGAAAGTGTTTAATTTAGCAGAAGTAAAAACCTGTTTTATAAACAAATGTTTAGATATTTGTTGGCACATTTTATATGCTGCTTGATGTTTTTCGAATTGCCTGTATAATTCATGCACGTAGAATAATTTATAGCTTATCTGACTTTTAGTTAGATAAGCTATAAGTTATTCTACGTGCATGAATTATACTGAAGCCACTGAAAGCCTTTATTTCAATTAGAATTTTAATATTTTTATTTTTCTCATAGGGATGTTTTTAAGTGATACATGCTATTAGTATATTTTGTGCTGCATACTTAGTCATATATTATTTTTCCTCAATATTTTATTTCATATAGCAGCCAAAGGCTACATTTTGGTTTTCATATACAATTAAAATTTTTACCATAGATTTTTCATTCATTAATTTCATTATGGTGTCTGGTATTAGCAATGCCTTTAGGTTACATGTACATAAATAATTAGTTACAAATTCCCACATTTTTGTTTATTTTGGTAAACCATTCAAGGTGGCCAGACATGATTTATGAAGAAAGTTTTCAGCCATTATAAGAATTTTTATAATGGCTGACAATGAAATGAAAACTAATGAAAGCTTTTTCATAAGTGTTTTGAAAAGTAAGTGAGCAGAATAAAAATGAAAGCATAATAAATACTCAAGCATAATACTGAATCTGAGCTTGCTATATAGCATAAAATAGCATAAGTGTAAATTTGAAAGGAGTTTGTATTGAAACATATTAAAATTTACTAGGTTAAATTCTTTAAATTAATATATTAATATTGAAATAACAAATGATCTTAATGTTCATCTAATTGAAAGTTTCTAGTAGTGTATTTTTTTGTTTTTCCCCATGAACGTTAGCATGAATACAAGCCAGTTTTTCTTAGAAAAGGCTCTATTAATGTAAGGCAGATGACCTATACATACCCTGTCATATTTGCTTGATGTTTCATGCCCATTCATGTAACATTTTTCAGTATCCCCACCAAAAAATTAATGAAACTTGAATTTAATAGTTTCACAGCAATGTAAAGTTGTCAAAAAACTTTCTAGAAACTTTATAACATATTTTATACAATAATTAACAACATTTAGTTTTTCATTTAATAAACTTAGTCTATATAATAGACTAAGTTTATTAAATTTATAATTAGTCTATATAATAGATTGTAGTACCTTAATTACCCTGCTGATATATATTAAGTATATTTTTAATAAATAGATCCATATTTGTATTATATGATCTTATGTAAATTCAAAGCTGAAGAGAAGAAATTAAATTGTGTTGAGTTATTTAGGATAAAATAATGCTTTTATGTACTTTTATGAAGCATTTTTTTGTAATAGGGAGATGCAGACTTTCCAGCTGAAGCTGTTCAAGCATTCCACAACAAGCCTTTACCTTCACATGATTATAGACCAAGTGGTAACAGGCCAAATATTATTCACCAACCAAGGAAGTAGATGAAATATAAAATTCCCAATGTTATTCCATTTTGCTGAGTACTTGATACATTGGCAACTTCCAATATTTGCTTTTTTATTGGGAAAATTTTTTGTTTGGTGTTTATGCTCTTTGTTAACAATTATATTGTTGATGTAATTTTTGCAGAATAAAAGATTTTTTCAGTAAAAGGTTTCATTTTATGATTAGCTATGCTATCTGCTTTCTAAAAACAATTTGAATGTATAAAGGCACATACAAATAGTATAATTAATTGTCAATGTTGCTAGTGTATAAACCAGAATTTTTAATAGTTAATTGTTTGAACTTAATTAAGGAGACACTCTAAACATCTGGATTCTATCCTTAAAAGTAGTACTCTTATAACATGTAATTATGGGAGGAGAGGAGAATTATGAATACACTAAAACAGATTCTCTCTCTCTTTAAATTACTTGATCGGTTTTAAGCAAAGTCTAAGAATGAAATGGAAAAAAAAGTTCAGATAACAAATGCAATTTTTAAAAAGGAAACAAACATAAGCCCTAATTAAGAGGAAAAAACAAAAAGTGCAACATCCATTCTAGCCATAAAATTTAATATTTAAAATAAGCTGTTTCTTTCAGCTTATTTTAAATATTAAAGTGTATATTGATCATACTGAGATCTGTTATTTCATCTTCAGAGGTTAAAGTACAATTGTATATACATAAACTTGAAAAAGCATATTTATTAATAATTCATCTAATTTTTTCATTATACTTATAATAGTAAAATAAAATTTATGCAATATAAACTGTTGTGAAGATGAATTTGTTATAAAATTAAATGTGTGAAGGAAAATTGTTATAGAGAGTATTTAGTTATGTATGTAGCCTTCTATTTCTTTTGTTTTTTTGTATCTACCGATGACAGTGTCTCGAATTATAATAAAGCAGCTTCAATGAGACAAAGTAATTAGTTAAATACTGCGACTTGACTGGTGTATGCGTTCAATAGACTGAGATCAAGGATAAGGAATCGTGCAAGAACAAGAAATTGCTCAGCTACGAATCTCAGTGAAGACAAGATTTGAGAATATGTTGACGAATGTTCGAACGACCATTACTATAACTGCTGTCACCCATATTAATTGACTATTTAATAAACAAAGTAAGACTCCATTTGCTGACCAGGATACTTTCAATATTTGCTTATAGGCACATGAAAAAGAACCAGTTTTAAACAATAGAAGTGAGTGCAGATCCAAAGTATAGGATATAACTTGTACGGAAAGCAAAATTATCAAAAAACGAAAACAGTTGAAGCAATCGGCTCCGTCCAATAAAGAAAAAGCTACCAAGAACCTAGAAAATAATGAAAATTTAATTAACCCTTAAAATATCTTTAAGTTAACAGCCAGACATTGAACAACAGAATAGGTTTGAAATGCTGCCGTAGTTGAAATGGAACATGAAATTACCAGTGGCGAAACAGAAGTTCAAAACAAATGCTGTTAGCGTCACTAAACCACACAAATCAGCCAATAAAATATCTCCAATTGTTATTTTTGAAGGAAAGGTTGACTGGGAGTCCTCGTCACCAATCAAACACATCTCGGGAAAAGTGATCGCTTTAATACCCTTGAATATCGCTCACTACACACGGATTGAAACTACAATAAAGGTGGCAACATAGAGCTATTAATTAAAAGTCATCTAAAATTCACCATATTTCCTCTCCTTACGTCTCTATGCATTGAAGCAACTGCCACTCTAATATATGGCACTAACAGAGAAATGATTCTGGTCAATTCGATTTACAACCCACCTAGCCAGACTTTGACAAATTAAGATCTTTATCAAATCACAAAGGCAGAATATCCTATCCTTATAGCCGGAGATTTAAATTCTAAGTATCGCGTTTCGTTGTATACATTAATATGTGTCGCACGGGCGGCAACAAAGGCTTGCAGTGTATCCCGGCATCCCTTGGAAACAACTGTGCTCAGTTGCAGCTGTGTAGATAACCTGTACGGTCTGTTCTGTGTCTTTGAAATGTTTAAGATTATCGAATCGTCCGCCACGTGCAAGGTACGGTCATTGATACTTTTTTTGTTAGCAAGAAATCTGTCTACTGCAGTCATTCAGTGGCAGATTTGTGAAATTTATGGAGCTATTGCCACGAGTGAAGGCTAAGTGGGTCAGAGATTTTAAAGCTGGCCGCGACAACGTCCATGATGAGTCCCGCTCCATTTGCCCATCTGTGATCACAGGCGACATAGTAGCTTCAGTTGAAGCGAAAATTCTTGAGAACAGACGCTTCACCAGAAGCACTCGTACAAACGAATTTCCTAAAATGTCTAGTATAGGACGTGAAAACGGCAGAGACCTCATGTTTATCGGAGCAGGCGGCAAAATTTCTATGAAGAGGGTGTTCAAAATCTAGTTCTAAGGTATGATACGTGTTTAAACAAACTTGGCAACTATGTCTAAAAATAGAGAAACATATGTAAAATCTGAAAATAAATTTCGTTTTTGAAAATTTTCTTTCGCTTGGGTTTTATTTTCAAAGGGCCCTTACTTAAACAGGGTTCATAGCCACATTTTAGTTAAAAAAATAAGCACCTATAAGCACTTTTCAAGCACATTTTAAGAAAAAAAAAATAAGCACCTGTCTAATTACATTATACACAACTGCATAACATTAAAAGAAAAATTAGACTTGCAATTTAAAATATCAGCAATGCAATATTTATCAAGAGAATAAGCATTACCTCAACCATGGAAAACAACTTGTTTTTTAAATTTTAAATGACAGTTCAATTTACAGAATTAGTTTACAATGAGAGAAAAATGAACTATGCAGAACTAAAATATATTACAAGATTTAATGATGAAATTTCAGTTCAAAATATAGAAAATAAATAATAATAAGTCATATTAATTGTATTTGCTTGGAACCTAATAATAATACAATTTATTTTTCCACTCATATTAATATTTAAATAATTTAATCAAAATTCTGAACATTTTCTAAATTTTCATTGCATTACAGTTTTCCCTTAACATATATTCCAAGCAAAGTAATTTAAGTAAAAAAGAGGAACATTTCTGAAATCAGAAGAAGGGAAATTGCTTCGTGCAGTCATCCTTTAACAGTAAAGCTTAACTAACCCGCATACTTGGAAATTGCCGAATATTCCGTATAGTCGAGCGTAACTGGAAAAAGAGGAGTGGGTGAAGATTGTAGCCGTTCTTTAGATTTCTCGGCTAAATAAATGAATTTTGACATTTCGATATGTGCATCATATAAAAATAATAGACCAACGGAACTGAGAAATATTCTGCTTAGAAAGCACAGTAAAACTCTTTTTAAGTGTTCATAAACAAATCTCAGACTGAACATCAAAATTAATTATCTTCGCAAAATACCGCAAAAGTTATTGCGCAATATGTTATTGCGATAGTGCAATACGTTATTGCGCAATACGTGCGGCGTAATTCTTCCATATGTGATATTACGCAATCGGAATCAACAGCTACCGGTATTCGGAGAATAAAGAAGTAAATAAAAGAAAAGAAAGAGACTTACCAATCTGGGGAGTTTCTGATTCTAATTTTGAACAGACTGCGTTAAATTTCTGAATAAAATCATTCTTCGCTTGGGTTGGGTAGACCGCAAAACTTTTAGTCCTATTCAATCCAGATTGGACAGTGACAAAAAAAAAAAAGTCCGCTGCTTCAATATTAGAGATTTTGCGGAGAAAGGGGAGAACCTCCCAACCTCCGTACTGTATAATGTATTGGGGAGAAAAATTATTCTGACTGTTCGATTACTTTCCTTTTATTTAAGCCATTCCGAATATTATTCCTTAGAAAGCTAATCTGTGTAAAAATATACCCATTTTTGGAAGTTTATCTACACTTCAGCAGCTACTGCAACTATATTATTATAAATATTCATACATATGCTCATAATATAAGCATAACGATCATAATAAACAAGAATATGAACTGACCACGCGGAACTAGAATGCAAATTATTAAGATCTTGATAGAAATTCAGACGTGTGTAGTATTTGGGTGGGCGGAAAAGAATACCGAATGTACCGGAATTTTCTACGGTTTTCGCAATTCTTTGAACAAAAGAACGATGTGCAACTGTCTATACTCTCGCGCGCACCATAGGTTACGTTAATGTAGAGAAAGGGGGAAAAGCTATTTCCGGGAGTATGATTCACCATCTGACGTTCCATATAAGGAAGAAAAGTTGTTTATTTAGTTTCGTCTTTGGTACGGGAGGGAAAATGCGCGTTCATTAAAAAAAAGCACTAAAAGCAAAAAATAAGCACCAAAAACAAAAAAGTAAGGGCTTTAAAGAAAAAGTAAGCACCTATAAGGGCCTTTATATTTTATTTTCAAATATAAGGACATATAAGCACTTGTAAGGACGGCTACGAACCCTGTTAAAAATCACTCCTGGTAATTTTGCAACTCAGCATGGTATTGAAATTAACGAACTTTCTTTGTCTGTTCACATTCATCATGATGCGAATGCCGACGTTCTCGATAGAAATCAATCATACACCACACTTGGAAGTGATTGAAGAGTTAAGGGAAGCACTTCCGCAGAGAACCCGGTAAATGTAAACATCGCCAACTTTGGCGATAATAGTTCAAACGTGGTAACCCAGCGGATTTATCCTATTCGCTTGTTCGAAGTTTGCAACTATTCCTCTTGCGTTCATTTTGTTGAATTATCACTGTCGTTGTTCGCATTTGCAGATTTATATTATTCTTCTCTTATTTATTATTATTTTTTCTGAATTTTTTAACAACGAATAGATAGAAATATTTTCGTAGATAGATGCCGGTTCTCGGTTTCATGATGAAAGGATGAAAATACGGCGGGAGGGGTGAATGCTAATTTGTAACACTGCTGTTTACGTTGTGTTCTTAATTATTAACAGTTCTTAACAATAACCTTTCAGAGGATGGCAGGTGTGACATAAATAGATGATTAAATTGAAATAAAAATATTATTGATTATCTAAGATGACAGAATAGTTTGATGCATCACCATGGTCATCAAAATTAGCAAACCACTGCTGGTGTAAGGACTATATTGTTTTCTGTGTTAATTGGAATTTAAGACAAATTTATTTCGTTTATCACGTTTAACCGGTTAATTTCAGTACATTAATACTAAT